CCATGTCGCACTGACTGATCAGCTTCACAGCCCATAACTAGTGGAGTTTACCAGGACTCATGGATACAGCCATGGTATATATATATATATATATATATATATAGTATTGCAGCCCCATATGAACTTACGCAACCTGTGGATGGACGTGCCCTGTCATGATCGATCTAATGGGCCACGTAGTTGTTTGACTACCGCTACGTTACTCACTACCATTATGATTGTGTATTTACGGGCGACTCTTGAGAACGGCTGCGTTGCACTGAATTCTAAGGGGTGCACTGCCATAGGGAAACTTAAAATAACTGCGAAACGAAACCGGTACCTCGATGATAAACATACAACTGGTGTCGGTGTCCATCATCGTGTCTGATCAAAGCTAAGATTTTCAGCAAGATTCTACACGTCTTCCTGTTGTGTCTAGTCCGTCAGAATTTAATTCAGCACCCTATTCGGCTCTACAATAGCTGTCTGTGATCCTCCTGAATACTGTTAACCAGCAAACCTATTCGGATGCTGGCCAGTTCACATGTATACAACATATATGACACTACATGTACGTAATGTGAGCAAGGACTGCTGCAATCCATCTGATTTGTGTTTGTCACCAACATCAATTACCGCGACTAGGTCTAACGCAGTAAGTTGGGTTTCAGTGTAAAGCCCGTAGACAGACAATGTAAGACCAGTCCTGTGAAAGACGAAGGAAACTAATCGTCAGACCAGTGTGTACGTGAAACGCTCGTAAGTGTTTTCATGCATACTAACCTGCACCATTTTATCGCCTCATTGATCGGGTTTCTTCTGTGCTGTGTATTCGGAGAACGGTTTAACTCTGTCTAACAGCAATCTCATAACAACACTGTCCCACTGCCAGTTCGTACCATTTCTTTGCAGCCGTAACTTTTGTGGATAAGTGATGACGTTAGCAACCAGGATGGTTTGTACGGTGGTTCCGGCGAAGAATAACTCACACATCTGAGATGGCGTCAGTCGTGGAGACAAGTCATCACGTGTGATCGGGTGGTGTGGTACCGTGACTGAAGGATGGGTAGTGACACATCCTGTGTAGTGTTGATCAGACGCTCGTGGCCAAATGGTTAGATGTTCAAACTACCAGCGGGGAAGTAGAAAGTTCTAAACTCCTCAAGGGATAAGCGCTGATGACAATGATTCCCAATAAGGATGAAACGGGTGTACAGAACATTTGGAATTTTTCAGCACAGATTAGCTTCGCGTACAGGACGAAACCGTCGTTGACAATAAGGTTTCACATCAACGTTGTCATGGGTACAGTACGCACACAAG